AAAATCTCACTTGGCATCTTCAATGCTCGCGCTCCGAGTGTTCGAAGTGTTTTCGGAGCGCGAGCATTGAAGATGCCAAGTGAGATTTTGGCGAAACGTCTGCAGGATTCCAGTCGGATGCAGGATTTGCAGGATTCCAGTCGGAGTTCAACGAGCGAATGGATGATATCCCGGAATATAGTGTCATCATATATATATATATATATATATATATATATATATATATATATATATATATATATATATATATATATATACATATATATATATATATATATATATATATATATATATATATATATATATATATATATATATATATATATATATATATATATATAAAGATGTATTTTAAGTAAAGAATGAAGTACATTTTCCAATGGTCGAATGTTTTTACTTTTTCCTCCGTAATATATTATAAAAGTGATGCTTCTTATAGAGGAATGTTTTTTTATTTTCATTGCTGTTTTACTTTATTATCGTCTATTGTTATTAGCTTCATTTGAAGATTTGATGATAACAACTAGACAAATCAAATAGTGACGCCTTCTCGTAATGACTCTGATTTACTTAGCTAAATTTCAAGAAACCTAAATTGGCTATAATTGGTTAAAGAAAGCGTACTATACAAATCAATGTTATTGTTTTTCTGCGATAACGCTGCACACTTATTTTTTCTCTGACCTTTAAAAAAAAGTCTCGGCAATAAAAACTGATAATTGTTTTATGTCGAACAAACGCCGACGATTTTTTTTAGTGAATACTCCGAACACCTAGTGAACAGTTGGCGGTTCGTTTATTCGCGAGATTTCTCTCGTAAAATAAATAGTAAGTAGATAATTAAGTCATTACGAGAGAACAATTTTTTTCATTTGAGATTCGAATATAAAAACTTTTAAAAACGGAATTAATTTTATTGTGTAAAAGTTTCTCAGCGATGGCAATTGTAGTTTCAAAATAAAAAAAAACTAACTTTAAAAAGTGCTCCTTAAAAGCATAATGAAAAAGGTTCAATACTTAACCCATTTAATTGGCAGTGAACCAGCTATTGTTTGTGTTGCAATCACCTTGAGCAAATCCATGCTATCTAATTACGCATGCGCGATATGCTCTTAGCAACCGCGTCACTGGCATGTCACGAATTACCTATATGCCATAATAATCCATTATCACTGGAATTGCGTTGACACACTCCTTTTTTCCGTAAGGGATACACGAATATTTTTATTTGCAATGATTGCCCCACTATTTTTTAGGTTAAGGCAGTTTTAGAATTAGTATTTTATCATGCTACGACAAATCTTATTTTTCAATATTTTTTACGAAAAAATTACAAATGTATAAATTGGGGAACTGACACAGCTTCTAACTTCTTACGGTGCGTGCAGGAATAATAAAATCAGGTTTTTTTATATTTGAAAAGTTCTTCCGTTTTTATGGACATACGAAAATAATTTAATTTAAATACGGTCCTCTTTTTCGTGGTCGATATTTTGGAATTGATATAATTTAATTGCTAATTATTTTTAAGTGACTATAGAAATGCACACTTTGTTTTTCGGAGTTGACACCGACGCTTTAATTAACTGTCGGTTTAATTGGCAGTTCCAGTCCAACCTTTATCTGCTGCACAATTTAAGTTTTGAAGAATTCGGTTTAAATAAAACCCCTTTATCTCGGATGACCCAATTGTAGGTAATTGTGAGTAGTTTTAACTTTTTCATTGTTATTATATTATACTGGGTTATACGCAAGAACAAAACTGTAAAACAAAGAAGAACGATTTAATTTACTCACTCACTCACTTATTTCAAAATGTATCTATTTATTTTTAAATATCTCTTGGCTTATTGTGATATTTTCTCACAATTTTACAAGTTTTCGGAGTTTTGTTCGTAAAATTGTGTATCCTTCAAAAAATACTCAGTTTAGGTGTAAGGAATGCTTAATAAAATTGAAACAACATTAATAGGGGTAATTGATGGAATTTTAATATACAGGGTGTTCCATTTGATTTTTTTTTAAATTTAAGATTTTTCATTTGGAATAACTTTTAATTGTTTCTTTTCTATAACGTCTGTATTTGACGTTTTCTCCTAAAACAAATTATATGGGATATCTATTACTTTGCGACAATATTTGGAGACACTGTGTTAATATTAATATTATTATTGTAATTTCCTCTAAATTTGTCCGAAGTAATTTGGTTGAAACAGTAAATTCAAAATGTTTGTTGCTTTTTGCGCGATGTGTGTGATCTTGTTTTTTGATGCATTTGCCTTTGTAAATTTTATTTTTTATTTCGGTGCTGTACATAGTTAAGATCGCAAACGAATAGCAATAGTAATATACATTTACATTTAATTTTTTGCTTTAGATATCATTTTTATTTTTACATAATGTGTGATTTTTAGAATCCTCAGAATGGCAATAAAATTTCCGAAACATGGACCACAAAACGATCTGATTGTTCGTGAATCCAGAGAAAAAACCCATCAAATACTTAATATTGATATAAATTCGAGTATATACACCATAATTCCCGTTACACTTGTAACTTCTCGAAAATCCTCTGCAACTCTATGGAATATATGAGAACAATGAGCATGTCCGTATTATAAAACTTTTTTTTTATCTTAAAAAGTTTTTTCAACTTTCAACGTTATTTATGATCTCACGTATTTTTCATCTCGCTTCCGCAATCCGCATTACGGCATTTCCAAAACTTTCTCCGAATAACGCCGCATCACACAAATTTCATGCCTACATCAGAGTCGTTGCAATCCGGCGTGTCACTGTTCGGCTGGTTATCCTTTTCCTTTTCTACTCAATGAATATTGGAAACCCACATTTCAAATGTAATTTCCCTTTAACCCAAAGATTATTCCGTATATAAATTATACAAACTTGAGAATTTTATTAATTTAGTCAGTGATTAGGTAAAATTTGTTACGTTGTGCTTTTAAAATACCGAACAGTCAAAACCGATTTCAAGAAGCATTAATTTAATGTCGCTTCCCGACTTGGCGGGCTTCAAAATATTAATTGCTTGATTAAAAATTACTACTATTAATGTGGCACGTGCGTCTTGGCACTATTAATGGCAGCTTTTTAATTATACACGACATGAAACAAATTAGAGCCTTTCGAATTAGCCGGATTCTTTGAGAACGTTTCCCTGAACGTCTTAATATTTTTTAGAATCTGATACTGCCATCTTGCTTACTAGTGTACTTCATCAATAACGTTTAATATCTTGCCGTTCTTTACGAAAGAAATGGAGATCCGTTGTTGCCGCCCCTAATCAAGACCCCAGTGTAGTGCAACTGATTATCATCTACATTATCGTTCTTAATTCTGCGACCTGACTGATCTAAATAATGGGTGTTTTTTTTTCGATGTATAGAACTTTAAGTTTGCATTACTGTTCAAGATGGCGACCGATTTAACAGCTGTCAAGTGATTAATTCTCAGTTTGGTGTGGCAATTCATCACGAATAGACTCACGCCTGAACAGCGCTTGCAAATAGTGCAATTTTATTTCGAAAATAATGGTTCTGTGCGGAATAACGTATCGCTCACTACGTCCATTTTATCGTCGACAAAATCGTCCATCAGAGCAGTTAATTCGATTAACCATGGAACGTTTTCGCACCACGTTTACTCTTATTGATAACTCGCATCCCCAGAGACGCCGTACGGTGCGGAAGGATCCTGGTTTAAGTGCTTACAAAATCCAACTCGTGCAAGAATTGAATCCAAACGATCATCAAGTAAGGCGTAGATTCGTCGAATGGGCCCAAAACGAGATTGCCGTTGTTCCCAATTTTCATAAGCGAACTTTGTTTAGCGATGAAACGCACTTCTGGTTGAACGGCTACGTCAACAAACAAAACTGCCGCATTTGGAGCGAAGCTAATGCTCAATTGTATGTCCAAACACCGTGACATCCAGAAAAACTGACCGTTTGGTGCGCTTTATGGGCTGGTGGAATCATTGGTCCGTACTTCTTCAAAAACGATGATGGCCAGAACGATACAGTCAATGGTAATAGTTCTTTTGTTCCTGAATTGAATAACCATGATGTCCAGGAGATGTGGTTTCAACAAGACGGCGCAACATGTCACACAGCTCGTGCCACAATCGATTTATTGAAAGACACCTTTGGTGACCCCCTAATTTCACGTTTTGGACCTGTGAATTGGCCTCCAAGATCTTGTGATTTAACACCGCTAGACTAGTTTCTGTGGGGCTATGTAAAGTCATTGGTCTATGCGGATAAGCCACAAACGCTTGACCATTTGGAAGACAACATTCGCCGATATACGGCCACAAATGTTGGAAAAAGTTATCGAAAATTGGACGTCCAGATCGGACTACAACCGCGCCAGCCGCGGCGGTCATATGGCAGAAATCATATTATTATCAAGATTATCTTTCTGATAAATAAAATTCATGTCAATCGAATAATCCATCGTTGTTGTATTGCAACTTAAAGTTCTATACATCGAAAAAAAAACACCCCTTAGTATTCTCGCGCCCTGTTTCATGCATAAATTGCGCTCGTTTCTCTAATTATTTGTGTTGTTTAAAAATTGTTCCTTCGTATTGAATATATATATTTCCCAACTCAACGCTCACACCTAAATATAACGTACATTCTTGCATTACGTTCCACATGAAAAATTCGGTTTAACCGCATCCATACTTTTAAGTATTTTTATAATTGGCCTCATCCAAAGCTCAATTCCAGTTTTTGTTTGCCCAGAATGCCGGAAATTTATCGGTAATTGACACTTTACTTGGTTATTATTTTTCTACCTGGCGTAATTTGTGCGGTATGTAATTGCAGGCTTGTGCCTAATTATATAGCTTTCGGCGACTCAACATTGGAATGGATCCCCATCGGTGAAACAATCGTAATTGCAAATTGACATGATATTCCGTGTCTAGAGTTTATATCCCTGAAATACAGAACTTTTGCGTTTTAGGTTTCTACTTTTGTTCACCACCCACAATCAGAATGGACTGAAATTTGTGTTCAGTTAAACAAAAATCAAAAATAAAAAGTCGTTTTTCAGTTTTGTTTGCCATTTTCTCTTCGGTAGTGAAATATCGTGTGTGCAGTGTATATAGTGTTTTCAAAATAAGTTTGAAGTACCTCATCACTTGTAATTTTTAGTAGCAATGCAATGCAAATTAAACAAACTCAATGGCACACGTCTGAGAGGTACATAAGAAATGCTATAAGGAAAATTCGGAAACGTAATATTTGAAATGTATAAAGGGACTGAGATTGAAGTGATTCTTTTTTGTTTTTGTATGCGTGTTAATTGTTTTAAATTTGATATCCGAGGACCAAATCAGGATCCAGCTAAGTAAGCTTGATATAAATAAAGGCCCTGGACCTGATAACCTACCCCCGATATTATTCAAATCATGTGCTGAATCTTTAGTGCAGCCACTTTTTATTATTTACAATAAAAGTTTATCTGAAGGGCAGTTTCCAACTATTTGGAAGTGCGCCAAAATAATACCTGTGCACAAGAGTGGCAGCAAGGTTGACGTCACAAACTACCGACCTATATCTATTCTTTCCGTTCCAGGGAAAATGCTGGAAGCTATAATTACCAATGAGTTATTCTTCAAATTAAAACATGCTCTTGGAGATACACAACATGGTTTTTTTAGGGGTAGGTCGGTTGCTACCAATCTCTCACTATATGTCCAGGATGTTTCCGAGGCGTTAGATAATAGGGTGCAGATAGATGCCGTGTACACCGACTTCTCAAAAGCTTTTGATAAGGTTCACCACCCAACAATGTTGATCAAATTAAAAAATTTCGGTGTACACGGTTGTCTTTCTAAAATTCTTCAATCCTACATCAGTCCTCGGACTCAGTTTGTAGAATTGAATTCTGCAAAATCCCAAACGACCCGCATCACATCTGGAATTCCTCAAGGGTCCCATTTGGGACCATTGTTATTTTCACTGTTTATCGCAGATGTCAGTAAATGTTTTCTTTTTGCTAAATCAGCATCATACGCAGATGATCAGAAATCATACGCGCCCGTGAAAAGCCTTAACGACTGTCATAAGTTTCAAGAAGATCTTGATCGTTTTTATGAATACTGTGTGAAAAATCGTCTATTTTTAAATATTGATAAATGTTACTGTCTTAAGTTCAGCAGGCGGATAAATGATATAAACTTTGACTACACATTCAATGGTGTAAAAATAAAAAAAGTAGAGCAGATTAGGGATCTTGGAATAACTATAGATATAAAATTAAGTTTTGATATCCACATTGAGAATATAGTAAAAAAAGCTTATAAAAATTTAGGTTTTATATTAAGAGTTAGCAAGGAATTTCAGGATCACAAATCGCTTATTATTCTATACAATTCCTACGTTCGATCTCACCTTGACTATGGCGGTGTGATATGGAGTCCTCGGTATCATAAATATATAGACAGAATCGAGAGAATACAAAAAAGTTTGTTTTCCATTTAAATTTTAGATTTAACCGTAACTTACTAACTCATTCGTATGAAGCTAGTCTTAATTTCTACCATATACTGAAGATATCTATTAGAAGAATTATCTCCAGTGCTATATTTTTGCATAATATTATTAATAGTAGGATTGACTGTCCTTTACTGTTGGAAAAAACTATCCTTCAATGCCAGAGTCGTTATAACAAGAGCTCCTTCATTATTTTACGTGCCTAGATTTAATACAAACTTAGGAAACAATTCCCCAATATCTCTGTTACATAGACATTACAATAATTATTTTTCGCACATTGACATCTTTGCGTTATCACTTAATTCGTTTCGAAATCAAGCAATTAGGGTTTTTCTATAAATTTATTTTAATTTTTGATTCCTTATTTTCTCACATTTGTTTTTTGTAATTCACGCACTTAATATACAGTGTTAATTTTGGTTTAGTTTGGTATGTTTGATTGTTATTATTATTTATTTATTTTTTTATCTTCTGCTTATCGTAGATATAGGTAGGTACTTACTTATAAGTTTTACATTTGTTAATTAAATAATGGTATAATTGTTAGTGTGTCCTTGTAAATTGTGAAGTTAGTTCTTCATGTTAGGGCACCTTTGTAATAAATAAATAAATAAATTAATTAATTAATTGCATTCCTCAGCATATCGAGTGACACAAGAGAGTGCGAACACTATAACTTTTAATCGGCTCGAGGTAGCGATTTAAAATTTGGAAGAGTTAATATAGGCTGAATGCCCAAGTTTTTGACAATATGTAGTCCGATTTGAGCGGAAACGACAGTAATTTTCGAGTTTTTAAATGGCATCACCTACATTTTCTTGCTTTTTTGAATTCAGATCATTATACGTAGGATAAAACAGTTTTTCTCTTTTTTGTTTTTTTTTTTAATTTTTATTTAATTTTTGAAAATTACGTCTAGGAGGCTGGGACTATCCTAAATATTATTTACCAGGTCACCTGGCCATGGAAAAATTGTAAATGAAACTTTTCTTTACTTGTCTAATGGCAAATAGCATTTAATGTAATGAGCTGTTAATTTTCTAGTATAACCTAGTTTTTTCAAATAGCACACTAGTTAGAACAAAAACTGCTTAAAACCGGTACTTTTTTTGCAACATTTTGACACCAAAGTTTTCGAAATGCGTTAAAAAATAAGCTCACAGTAAGGAAAAAACCAGAAAATTAAATACATTTTTATAAAAACAAAATATTACTTATTTGGCTTTCTAGTCATCATTAATAATAATATTAATAATAAATACCTTTATTATAACAAAAAAAAAACAATATAAAATTTTAATATTTTTCAAAACAATGTAAAAAGAACCGCTAAAGAACTATTTATATAATTAATAAATTACGCGCTATTTATTCAAATAAAAAATGGATGAGCAACAAATAAAATATGAAAAATACCTGCAATATCCGAGGAACAACATAACTCTACTACACACTGAAGGTAAAGAATTTGATAACTCAATATAACATAATTACTAACACATTATGAGGAAAACTGTATTTGTAACACATGATCTTTGTACCTTTTTTTAAATGAATATAAATTTAAGTTACTGAATTCCTGTGACAAAGAATTATAAACACGATCTAAAGATCTACGAAACAAGGCACTCTGATGATGTGGCATCGTTAGTCTGTACCCATATCTTACATTCACAGAATGGATGGTACTGCTAGGAGTAAGCCGCTCTCTCACCAAGTAATTGTCAAGTTAGTAAGAGTAAAAATGCAGAAGAAACTCTCGACAAGGTCATGCAGTGGAAAGAAAAAAAGAGATTAGTATTTGAAAAAAAATTATAATTCAATTCATTCTTCTGAGATTCAACGATTAAAATTTTTTGTTGAAAGTGTTTTATTATGGTAAATAGTTGAAATGCTTTTGTAATACGGGGATACAGTCAAAAACTAACATAAGTGTTGTGTGTATACGCACGTCATAACCTACAAGCACTTTTTACCGGAAACTCAGAAAAACAAAAGAATAGAAATATTAGTATTTAAGATGGTCACAGCCTCCTAGACACAATTTTCAAAAATTAAATAAAAATTTAAAAAAGAACAAAAAAATGAGAAAAACCGTCCTTACATAGAATTATCTCCTGAATCCAAAAATGCAAAAAATATAGGTTTTGTGCCATTTAAAATTCGAAAGTTATTGTCGTTTCCGCTCAAGCCGTTTAAAAATTATAGTGTTGTCACCCGGTATAGTATAATGTGTTGCCGATCTGACAGCAACCATTTTCACTTATAATTGTAAATTTTATTCAGGTATAGTATTAAAAAAGTCTATGGATATTTTAACCTTGCGAAAAAAAAGTATTTAAATAATTTAAAAAGCCTTCAAATTGCCTGATAATTGATTCTTTCAGAAATGAAGATTTTTTGTTTTTTCTGTGTTTTACTAAGTTATTCTATATTTAATGCACACTTATTCTATATATTTTTGTGTGTTTCAGATATGGCTCTTAGATTTGGCATTCTGACTGGTAAGTCTATTGACACTCATGGGTTCATTGATAAACTTGATATAGTCGGTACGATTTGCAATCGCATAGTCGGTCATAAAACTAATAGAGAAGGAGCCTCTGTATTTTACCTGTTTCCACTCGTATACTAAGAATGGCAAAACCCACCCATTTACCCGCCAGTATTCACATATCATTCTACACTTAGTGAAAGTATACCAAATGCATCTACAAGAAAAAAAGAAATTATCAATTGGCTACGGAGTTACTTCCCCTATGCTAGAGACGAAATAATTGCTGATATGGGTCATCAAGTTTCAAGATTGCCTCCTTACCATAGTAATGAAATAGAATTGGTGTGGGCGCGGTGCAAAATAGTTTTTATTAAAAGCGAAGTAAGTTAGACAAGGCACGATGATACCGGATTGGTATCTGTTTGGAAGGCACTTGTCCAGACAGTTACAAAGAAAATTGGATCATTTGTATAACATATTCAGAAAATATAATAAAAGAACATTGGAAAAAAAGAGAATTCACTTGATATAACGGTGCCACCACTTATTTATAGAGATGTTTCATCTTAAATACAAACTAAATATGATTTACTTGTACATTTACTCTTAGCAAATTATATTTTATACGGTCTGATATTGCATCGACAATAGTTTACTTAACAATTTTTTTCATGTAGATTCGCCAACTTAAATATTCGCATATCATTTAGAAACACTCTGATCTATTATTACATAGAACATACATCAAAAGTAAATTAATAAATGCCAAGTACAACTGATTCTGTCTCTCTTACTAACAAGTAATATAGGCGTGATTATTAGTGACTGCTGCCACTAATGACACGAGCGGAGCGAGTGTTTAATAAATGAGTGACTACTATAGTTTTTCTACTACCGTGAGTTTTTGGGTCGATACATTTTCACGAAACAACACGAATACTGTAAATTTTAAGTTAAATGCAAATTTCTGATCACATGCCGTTATATGATACCACACCATAATATCATGTTTCCCTTAAATTATCTCATCCTATAACTTTAAATCGAATGAAAAATCTTAATCATATTCTCCCTAGTGAGCACCACCTGCTTTATGAAAGTCAAAGAAGATGTAGCCGGTCCAAAATTGGAAGCCGAAATCTCGGAAACATTTCCAGATTCGAAAGTCACGTTCAAACGTATAGTCAGCGATGACGAACAAAGCATCGCGGAGGAACTTAAAAATGTCAGCGATGCTGACCTTTGCGACGTCATATTTACTGTGGGCGGGACCGGATTCGCGCCAAGCGATGTAACTCCCGAAGCTACGAGGGCTGTCATCGACAAAGAAGCTCTGGGATTAGAGTTGGCGTTGATTTCGCGTAGTCTGGGTTCGTATCACGAAAAATTCTGCTAGTAGTTGACGTTTTTAAACCGGATTAATAATAGGAGGTAAAATTAGTGCCCAACAAATACTTAATATAACAAAATTGTCTATAACTTCGCAACATAGCTGCGGAGGTATAATCCTACCTAGAGATATGTCGAAGAACTTTTCGTGTATGTGCTATTTTTTACCACTTAGATGTTTTTTTATAGAAAGAAATGCACACCCGTTCTACACGACATCCATTTCAAGACAGGATACTGATACACTAATTATTGTTTATTAATATATATGCATTATTTCGATATATTAATTATTATAATTAAGTCCACAGGGAACCAACCAAAAATATTATTTTTGTTACTTTAAGTAGCGTCTTATAATTATAAAAAACCTACTTTCCCATACCATCTTTCTGTTATCTATTTCCAAAACCAAGTTACTGTTTTCCATGTCTAAAATTTTACATAGGCCTATGGTTGGTTACTTTCGGACCATTCTTTATTTCATACATATAAGGATTACAGCTTTTACTAAATGTTTCTTTTCTACGATCTTTTGTTTGTAGTCATTTTGGAAGTTGTTGAGTGTTACAATTTCCTTATGTTATCCAGTTTACCTCCACTTGATTTTGACAGCATATTCGATAGCTGTTTTAACCAACCGAATTACGTAGCCCAACAAATTGTTAATTTAATTATAATTAATTTAAAATTGAAAGTCACTGTCGGTAATTAAATTCCAAAAAATATGTATCTAAGGTTTAATTTATGTTAATTTGGAATGTTGTAGGTATTTATTGACTATCGTTTTGTCTGCCTTGTTCGATTTACCGTAACAGTCTGTAAGACTGGCAGCCTGTCGGTGTGCTTTATAATTCATTTGGCCAACGTAACTACCGGGTTATATCGAGTCAGCTAATTTACGGAATGTTTTAATACAGGGTGTCCAAATAGTGTATCAAAGTAATATTTCGTTTATTATTTATTTGCAGTTTTGACAGCAAAAATTGCCATAAATCTGAAAACACTCGGTGTAGACCATAACAACCCTACATTGGGTGAGTATAAAAGGAGTACCTACTAATTCAATAATATACATTTTTATGTATTACCGTGTGTGTTTGAAAATAATTTTAAATTCTAATAATAAATGATATATATTACTGTGACACACTATTTGGACAACCTGTATGTAATATACGGTTTGTTTTCTAATTGACTGTCAATTATTAAAAGGTCGATTTTTGGGTCAATTTTATTCTGTCTGTCTGTCCTCCGACTGGTCGTTTTATTCTTACATGAAAGCTTGTCACGCGCTTATACAATTTTTATTCTGCCATATTTTACCAGCGTTAAATCCTTCATCTACCCAAGTTTTGTCACGAAAGTAACTATATAGAAATATACAACAGATAATTTCGTCTTTCCCTATTAAAAGTGATTTTATATTTTGATTTTTTTTCCAATTGATCAGAAACAAATTCATTTTCAAGAAAAAGCAATTGCGGGAAAAAATATAATTTTAATTTTCAACACTATGGGCGGGTAAGTCACCTGTCCGTCTACCGGTTACTCTCGGGACAATCATCAGACAACAACGTATATGGAATCCCACCACTAATAATTAAATAAGAACAAATGTTGTTCAGATTTTCACATATATATATTTGAATGACGGCTGTTTCGCCAACATGCGAATATGTTTATAAATATAAAACAGGTAGTAATTACTTAATGTGAGGTATTAAATTGAGATTTAACAAGGGGCATCCATTCAAATCCAGGTGGTCATTAAGTAATACATACAGAGGAATAGTATATTGAAAAATCTAATTTGTTTTGTGCTGTAGTTATCGTTAAATCCAAGAAATTTAAAGAATTTAAGTTTTTAAATATATTTATGTGAAAATCTGAACAACGTTTGTTCTTATTTAACTATTTTAAATGGATTTTCATCAAGTAAAAGCCACTTCAGCATGAATCCTACTAAAGCCAATAAGTTTTACAATTCAGTAATTAGTTATAACTCCCTCTCATTACGAAACAGGGCAAATTCTAAAATTAAATTAAAAACAAAGAATAATCATTTTATGTTTTAAAATGCATATTTTAATTATATTTTAATATGGCCGGCAATGTAAAACACGGTATCGGTATTCCATACCTTGGTGCCTGATTAACAACGTGAATGTCGTGATGAACTGCTTATTAACATTTAATTTTCCGCAAAATGTTCAAGAATCAAGTCCAAAAAAAACTTCATTTTTGCTATTTCTCTCTACAATAATTTTCAAAATCAGTGTTGTAATGGAATCTACATTTTAAAATATTTTTTACTATTCTGTAACATCCTTACTTTCCTTCAAATTCCATTAAAACTTTTTTTCCCTCAGCTATGACAGAAATGGCGATGTTATCCAGGCTTGCCTGCGGAATTAGAAAGAAAACGATAATATTAAATTTCCCCGGGAGCACGAAAGCTGCAATTGAATGTTTTGGGTTCATTAAAAGTTCCCTTGTACACGCCGTCGAATTGGTTAGGCAGAGAAACGAGCGTGTCGCCGACACTCATAGAGCGATTCAACAAAATAATGAGTTTACAGAAAGTAAGGTAAGATGTAAACCTTTTAACATTAATCGTCGATCATTTCATCATTGGCGTTATGGATCGAGAGAAGCCCGAGTTTCTTAGTAAGAAATCTCCCGAAATTGAATTTGAAAACGCACTACACATTAAAATTTAAAATTGAATTAAATTTGATTATTCTTGTTATAAAAAATGACGGATTAACGTTCCACTTATTTGTAAAAAGAAGTTTCAGATATTCTCTTCCTGAGAATGACTTTATGTTTATATAGAATATGAAAGAAAATGAGTATTTCTTTTTTTAATAATCACGATATTTTGGTATCCTGGCAACGGGAAAAAACCGGAGAAAGCAAAACGAATTGAGAGACATTATCGTGAAGAACAATGTTTTCCACGGACCTGATCCATGTATTCTCAGACGGCTTCAAAAGACCCAAATTTTTTTCGGCGGATCGATAAATTCGGGCTCGAAAGCTTGTCGGCGGTTTCCGTGTAGTATTAGAAAGAAAAAAATATCCATCCTTGTTTCTTATATAAAACATATTGCAAAAGTAGGAAATCATATTAAGAAGAGTCCGGAATAGGAAGTTCCTCTAAAATGAGGAAATTGACAAAGTTGCCGTCAGGGCACGTAGGAATAGGAGGGAAGGGAGATCTGTCAAATAAAAGACCCCAATTTTGGGCCGAAGAGAAAAATGCTTACAAATACAAAACATATGTTTTCACTTGCCAATCAGAAAAAAAATAAGTTTTCGTCGTAAAGTCAGTAAAAGTGAAAACTAGGATAAAGACTTTGTTTATTTCTACACCTGAAGTGTAACAAGAAATTGTACCCACTGTCTAATTCAAAACATACAGTCTCACGATCGTGAAAACATTCTCAAAAATAGTACAGCAATCAGCGTTTGACTTTTCAGGCAAGTCTTTCTGACTTATTAGTGATGTCAACTACTTATTATTATAAATGGTTTCTCAATAATGGCGGGTTGAATGAAATGAATGAATGAATAAAAATCATTCAAATCCGAGTGGTCGATTGTGATTTATTTAGATAATATTTGATCAAAATGATCAACACCTGCCATAAATTTGTTGTATTCCTTAATTATCTGTGGTTTCATCACCACTTGAACGCGTGTCCCACTCCCAGATATTTTTCTAGCAGAGACGACTTTTTCGTTATGCAGGGATCCAGATAACTGGCAATCAGCGGCTCCTGAGTATACAATTATTTTGAGAGACATGCCCTTTGGTTCACACAAGACATAAACAAACAAGACACAAAAAAAGTCTCTAGAGATAATCTCACTATCGACCAGTGAGAGTGCGTTCAGCCAATTTCAACTAGCAACAATCAGCACATAGAAAATTCTATAAAACCTTTGCTAATATCCTTTTTTCGCTTTTTTGACTGCATTTAAGTTAAGTAAGTTAAGTAAAACAGCTAGTGATAGTGTTGGCATTTTCCTGTACAACTGTTGCCTGTACCCTTGCCAACAGAAATTCAAAAGTTGAACCTGGCATGTAATATTATGCCAGAAATATTTGCCAAATAGGCGTTGAGTTCTAAACGATTGGAAATGCAGTAATCGGGTTTACCCTTTATATCAAGGTAAAAATACAAGTCGGTGCACTGAGGCATAGAAAATCCCCATATGATATGATTTCCGTACAAGTTGCTCAGGACATCATCTTTGGCAAGATGAAATTTTGCGAGAATGCAGAAACTGAGGTTGTTTCTGTAACCCAAGCTCTCGAAAGGGTTCTTGCTGAAGATATTAGCGCCATCGATCCCATTCCACCTTTTCCTGCATCTATCAAAGACGGGTACGCGGTTATAACTTCGGATGGTGTCGGACAGAGGGCAGTGAAAGCTGCGATGGCCGCTGGAGACGAACCTGCCAAATCAGGTATTGTATTAAGAAATAATACAACGCGCAAGATGCCTTTGAGGGAATGGTGATTGAGTTCGTCAATACTCATAAAGTACTGGATATCTCTAAAGTTATTTCGCTTAATATATATAAATATAAAATAAAATAAATACATATGTGAATGTAATAAGAGGCGACTTGGGTGCTCACGGAAAAAATTTCCTTTTCACGCGATTTTGATAGATTGATATTAAAAAGTAATCAGAAACGACGAAGTTCAACAAAATCGATAGAAAATCTCTGGAGGTTTCATAAAGTAAACTAAATTTCCGTCCCGCCTACGAAGAATAATTATGTTTTTTTTTTACTATAATTTATTGCTCTTGATCCTTAATCAAATTTGGTACACACACTTTAAGAGGCAATTTTAGTTTTTTTTTTCATTTCAGCCAGTGTCATCCGCCGTCCGTTCGGTTTTAATTCTGGTTCTCCCAAAAATGATAATTATTTCTGATATTCCGTTCCAGTTAGCTTTACAGGCTACTGTAATACTATTTACAAATCTTTTGGATTTCTCCTGCGTCTGTTGTGGATAAATCGAACTTGCTGACGTTTCGCCAATAATTCTGTTGGCTTCTTCACAGCTTAACTGAAACTGGCTCGCATTCTACTCTCAACCTGCTTACAGAGTATATCAGCCCGCTCCTATAAACATGAATGATTGCCATTATGTGAAAGGTCTGAGTCTTTTTTTCGTAAATCTAGTCTTGCTTTACTTCAAGAAATAATTCATCGTACCCGTAAAGAAATAGACCAAATCAATAAGACTCATCTTATCCCCATCGTAGTTCGATACTTCTTCCGATATTATTCATGACAAAGTTGGAATTGTTCTCTCCAGAATCACATTCAAAATTTGAATGGCAACACCAGTGAAACCATAAAACTTTTTTCTATTACTACTACCAAACACTGTGGTAAATGTACCATCGCACCAACTTTCTGAGACGGAAACAACAATTCTCCGAAAAGTTCTTAGCACAAGTTCTTCCTCATTATTATCTTACCTAAGCAAGCAGCTAATGAACGCATAACTCTAAAATCTAAGCACGACATATCAGGGAAAAATTGGAGTTGTTCTTACAGAGTGATCCTATTGCCAACTTAAAAAGATCCTACGTATTAGGGCTTACTTTCTATTAGAATCCGTGACAAAATCCATCACCTCTCACGACTTTAAAATTCCTCTTCTCCACGGCCTCCGTAAGATCCAAATCTTCTCATCTTAGTTGCAAAATGCTTGCCTGGAAAATGTTTTTCTTGTAACGGTCTTCGCATATATATTTAGAAGAAAGTTCACGACGCTCTCTGTGCACCGTAATATATCATTGAATTAGGAACCAGTAGTGATCTGTCTTTCTTAGATATTCTTATTAATAGAAAATCATTTTGTTTACAGAAAACCTACGTACACCTCAATCCAAGTCACCGGATTCAGAATTAAAACTTCTTACATCTGCCTTCTCTCTAATCATTTCCACATTAGAGATATTAAGCGTTCTGTGACAAAGTACACTTTACCACAACTTCCAAATAAAATTAGCCCGAAAGCAACCCCACAATTGCCACCTTCGTTCTTCCTGACATTTAAAACATCGTTTAAGGCTTTCGCGGCCCGTTGATAAGCTATTATCTTCATTCGGGTTTAAAGGCCGTCGTCGATTGGAATTACTTCCTAACGTTTCGCTGGCACGAGTGGCGAGCTTCTTCAGAGGTCCTTCCATCTCCGATGTTGGACGTAGACTGACGATTTCTCCTGCGCAGGTTGTATTTATGCCGTTTGGTGGAGGGCGGGGCTTGTTCCGCTTCGGTTGGTCTCGGGATATCGATCGGTACTGCTCGGGCGTTCCTAAGGATCGGGTTCCAGATTTGGTTGAGTCTAAGGGTCTCCTCCTTTCGGTTGAAATTGTGTGGGTGTTTTTGAATCTCAATGGCTTCCCTGACTAGTCTGTTGTGATAGCCGTTAACCGATGCTAGTAACCTACAGCTCTCAAAGTGTATCCTGTGTTCCCCGCTGCCCAGTGCGTGTTCAGCCACTGCAGACTTCTCTGTATGTCCTAGCCTGCAGCTTGCTTTATGCTCCTTAAGTCTCGTTCCCATTGATCTCTTGGTAGTTCCGATGTAGACCTTTCCGCATGAACACGGAATGCGGTAGACTCCCGCAGCTGAAAGTGAGCCCCTCTTGTCCTTCGCTGACCTGATGGTCTGCTGGATCTTCTTTGTAGGCTTAAAGATTGTTTTGATGTCGTGTCTTTTCAATACTCTGCCAATCCTGTCGGTGACACTCGGAATATACGGCAGATATGCGTGGGAGGTGGAGGGTCGTTGTTCGATATCCCGTGATCTTGATGATCTTGAGTTCATTGATCTCTCGATCTCCCTCTTACTGTAGCCATTTGCCTCGAACGCAGTTTTTAGGTGTTCAAGTTCCATCTGGAGGTTCTCCGGTTCGCAAATCCTTCGGGCTCGTTCTGTCAGGGTTCTGATAACCCCATACTTTTGACTTGGGTGATGGTTGGATAGAGCATGCAGGTATCTGTTCGTATGGGTTGGTTTTCTGTAAACTGTGTGGCCCAGCTTGTTACCTCGCTTCCTCACTAGTACGTCCAAGAATGCAATTTGTTGGTCATTTTCAGTCTCCATAGTAAACTGGATGCTGGGATGCTGACTGTTGAGATGCTGCAGAAAGTTGTTGAGCTTGTCCATACCATGTTTCCAAATCACGAAGGTGTCATCCACGTACCGGAACCACGTTGCTGGCTTGTACTCTGAGGTCTCGATCGCTTTTTCCTCAAAGTGTTCCATAAATAAGTTGGCTATAACCGGGCTTAGTGGGCTTCCCATTGCCACTCCGTCCACCTGTTCGTAGAAGTTTCCCTTCCACACGAAATAGCTACCGGTCAAACAGACTTCAAAAAGTTTGCAAATATCGACAGGAAATATCCTGTTCACCAGGTCCAAGCAACTCTTCAGAGGTACTTTGGTAAACAGTGAGACGACGTCGAAGCTCACAAGGATGTCGTTTTGTTCAATATTGATATCTTGAATCTTGCGCACGAAGTCGGTGGAGTCCTTGATGTAACTGGTGCCGTGTTCTACGTTCTACCGTGGTTGAAGCAGCGATGCCAAGTGTTTAGCCAAGTAATACGTTGGTGATCCGGGTGCGCTAACTATTGGTCTTAACGGGACATCTACTTTGTGTATCTTAGGAGTCTACCGCATTCCGTGTTCATGCGGAAAGGTCTACATCGGAACTACCAAGAGATCAATGGGAACGAGACTTAAGGAGCATAAAGCAAGCTGCAGGCTAGGACATACAGAGAAGTCTGCAGTGGCTGAACACGCACTGGGCAGCGGGGAACACAGGATACACTTTGAGAGCTGTAGGTTACTAGCATCGGTTAACGGCTATCACAACAGACTAGTCAGGGAAGCCATTGAGATTCAAAAACACCCACACAATTTCAACCGAAAGGAGGAGACCCTTAGACTCAACCAAATCTGGAACCCGATCCTTAGGAACGCCCGAGCAGTACCGATCGATATCCCGAGACCAACCGAAGCGGAACAAGCCCCGCCCTCCACCAAACGGCATAAATACAACCTGCGCAGGAGAAATCGTCAGTCTACGTCCAACATCGGAGATGGAAGGACCTCTGAAGAAGCTCGCCACTCGTGCCAGCGAAACGTTAGGAAGTAATTCCAATCGACGACGGCCTTTAAACCCGAATGAAGATAATAGCTTATTTAAAACATCACCAAAAGATTTTTAAATAGCAATGGTTTCATTTCTTGAACTGTTAGAGTAGCCAACCAGCACTGACTGATTAACTTTTTTGCATCGTTCTATATTTACTTGCATTGAGTCTAAACTAATATTCTTCATGCAGTCTTGTAACTATTATTTAGTTGTAAATAGATAATTTAACAAGCGGATATTTACATTTATTTTATTTTTATTTATTATATTTATTTATTTATTTTATTTATAAACGCCTGGTTTGTTAAGTGTTGCATAGCGGAGAAGTTATAAGAATATCGACGGGAGCCGCAGTGCCAGCAGGTGCCGACGCTGTCGTGCAAATCGAAGATACGACACTTATTGCGGCTTCTGAAAATGGCAGTGAGGAAAAAATCATCAAAATTAATGTAGCGCCAACGGTGGGGCAGGATATTAGGTTAACTTTTAGTCAATAAAAAGAATCATTGCCTGAATGATGACTGGCGTACTTTTCAGACCGATTGGGAGTGATATTCATGCTGGCACTTTGGTATTAAAGAAATACAACAGAATTACTGCCGCGTACGTAGGCGTTTTAGCCACCTTGGGTTTCACCAAAGTCAGGGTTATCAAGTAAGTCGATATTCATTTATATTAAATACAATTGGTCTCTATTTTTTTGCTGCTGTTAGGCTTACTATATCAGCGGGAACCCAATAAATTCTTAATATATAATATAGGTCAAATTCTAAAGGTTTGATGTCACATATTACGTTTATTATTCCCACAGGCAACGTATCACTGAGTTGGTTAAAAAAATCAACGAATTAGACTTGAGATTTTAATCACGCCTTTCGCTATCATGTATATGTAGGGTTTCTTGAATTCGTCCTTGGAAATATTAAGTTTACAAAAATTTCCTTATTCCTTACGTCAACAACGCGATTAGTGATAATTTTCTTCACATGTAAACATCGAAACAAGTTTCTAATTACGGTTTGTTTATAAAGAAAATAATTTAATACTCTCGCGTTAATTATTATTCAAAATTATTGCATGTAATCAGTTCTTTTACCAACAAAAAATCCGAGAGACCATAGAAATCTATAAACAACCTAACAATGTTAATCGCGACTCAGGTCTCTACCTGTCACCAATATGCCCCTCATTTAGCTCGACCTCCCTCAAACAATATATAAGCAGGTACAGTGTAAAATACGAGCCAGTTTCAGTCAAGCTCTGGAGAAGCCAACTCACCAAAAACCGACGCAGGAGGAATCCAGTAGTTTTGTAAAACAGTAGCCTATTGAAGTTTCTTTGAAAAATTAATTTTCAACACTATTTAGAAATTTTTCCTTTTTTTCAGAAACTCAGTTAAACTGTGTAGCTTAGGGAAGTTTTTATTCCACATTTTTCTTTAGCCGTTTTCCTAAAAAAATTTCTTTCTTAATCAAAGTAGTTAGATTGTGGTACCCAGCTTAAAATTTCCTCCTTTCTATTATAAGGTTGTTCGGAAAGTCATTTCGTTTTTTCCCGTCAGAGGACTTAATTACGTTTTTTCGAAACCAACTTCACACTTAAGCCGCATAATCATTATATGTCTTGAGAGCTGATATTGCAAGGCTTGTGTGTGAAAAAGTTCTATTAATTCTACGCAGTAGTTTTTGGTTGGTGCCCTTTTAAATATGGAGAGCAATAAGCAGCATTTTCGTCATATTTTACTTTTTTACTTCAGAAAAGGTAAAAATGCTGTCCAAGCGAGAAAAAAATTGACGGATGTGTATCGAGAAGGCGTGTTTTGATTTTGATGTCGAAGATGCACCACGGTCTGGAAGGCCGGTCGAAGCTGACAAAGATGCGATAAAGGCATTAGTTGATGCAAATCGGCGAATAACCACACGAGAGATCGGTGAGAGATTAAATTTGTCGAATTCGACTGTTTATGGCCATTTGAAAGGCATGGGCTTAACCTCGAAGCTCGATGTGTGGGTGCCCCATGTCCTTACGGAGCGAAATTTGTGTCGTCGCGTTGACGTGTGCGATTCGCTCCTCAAACTTCAAGAAAATGATCCATTTTTGAAACGGATTATTACTGGGGACGAAAAATGGGTTGTATACAACAATGTTAAACGCAAGAGGTCATGGAGCAGAAAAGATGAACCGGCTCAAAGCGTGTCAAAAGCCAACATTTACCAAAAAAAGGTGATGCTCTCCGTTTGGTGGGATGTCAAAGGAATCGTTTTTTTTGAGCTTTTGCCGGACAATACAACGATTAATTCAGAAGTCTATTGTCATCAACTGGACAAATTGAATGATTCACTTAAAAGAGAAGAGGCCCGAATTAATCAATAGGAAGGGTGTAGTGTTCCACCAGGATAATGCGAGACCTCACACAAGTTTGGTCACTCGCCAAAAACTTTTACAGCTTGAATGGGACGTACTACAACATCCACCATATTCTCCAGATCTGGCGCCTTCCGACTACTATTTGTTCCGGTCCCTGCAAAATTTTTTGGATGGCAAAACCTTTACCTCAAATGAAGATGTCAAAAACCACCTGAACCAGTTTTTTGCCAGCAAGGACCAAAACTTTTATGAGAGGGGAATTAGGTTACTGCCAGAAAGATGGCAAAAGGTGTTGGACCAGAATGGCCAATATATAATTTAATAAAATATTTATTCATTATACGAAAACTGTCTTTCATGTTCCCCAAAAAAAAACGAAATGACTTTCCGAACAACCCAATATAACGTCATTTGCGAGAGCCGTAGTCAAATAAATTTTTTGTGCTGCTATTATAGGACGGGTGCTCTATTTCAGACGTCCAACCATCGGAATAATTTCCACAGGAAACGAACTTAGGAATGCAGGAGAGACTTTAAAACCCGGAGAAATCCGGGACAGCAACAAAGTAACGCTTTTAACCTTATTAAAGAGTTTCGGTTACGATGCAGGCGACTGTGGAATCGCAAGGGACCAGTAAGTCACTTGCTGAATTTTTTATCAATCTCTAGCTTATGGAATTCGATCAAAAACCAGAAAAATTCTTTACGACGTTCGTGACTTTACGCGAGTAAGAATATTTTCTCATATTTTCCATCCTTCTAGTCGATTGCGAGGTGCTTTAATCTAATACGATAAAAAATTATATGAATTGATGGATTTACTATCCAATCTTTCGAAACCAGCCTTATAGAACACCGCTCGCGTCACCGAGTTTCAGAAGATACGCAATTAATCGGAGAGTCTGAGAAAAGCGGATTGTGGATTGACAAGATATGGTTTTCGAAATTGGAAGCTGGAGGCGGAAGTTTCCAGAGCCGTAATTTAAATTTTAAATGAATTTTATTATTCCAATCTTCATTTGTAGTGAAATGGGAACAATAATGTTTGTTCAGTTCCCGGGAAAGTATCAGTTGCGTAAAAGCAGTGGGATGAAATATTTCTAATAGGACTTTGGTTTTTGCTGGATCACTTTAGGACTTATCTTTCATGATTATGTCACGGATTTATTTTTTTAAAATTATATAAGCTGTACGGCCGAAGAACTAACCAACCACCCAAGATTGGCTATAATTAGCTGTGCGTTACAAATCGCCATTCGTGGTCTATGGATCTTTTTTTCCAATCCGTTCTCGTTTTTGTTAAATAATTAGAAATATAATCTTATCAAGTTCTTTATAATGTTAAAACCTGAAAAAGTCTTTGTCAATTTTGTAATACATTGCGTTGACATTCAATTTGTATTATACATAATAAATACATAATATATACATAATAAATTCAAAAATTGCGGCAAAGGGATCCCTTTAATGGAGCGAATCCCTCCGGATTCGATCTGTGCCTCCGGCGCTCCAATTTCTTTTGCGAAAGACGCTTTCAAATTTTTCTTTAATTTTTCGCTTCACTTCACTTAAATGCTTCTACCCATCTTTTCACGATTTTTTGTGCGTTACATACAGAAATATCATACTTAGTAAATATATAAATGAAATACGTACCTGGCGATTCAAATTAAGTACTTTTGGAGGTGAACCACGAGCAAAAGTAAAGGTCTACTAACCACTTTTTTTCCAAATCTCCGTAGAGGTTAACTTCTTTTGGAGGATAGTTAGTAATATAGATTCTCTCGCTTTGTGAAAAGAGCAAGTGCAAAGTGCATATAGATTAATTCCCCAAGACTGTGGCACCCTTAAGCGGCGATCTTATGAAATCATACAAAATATCTCTTACAATCATTGTATACCTCTACAACCACCACATGGTGTGTTGTTATTTGAAATATAAGTTTATATTTTTGTGTGAAATTTTATTACTAAACATCGGATAATTAAGAAACCCGTAAAAGTTCGCAGCTACTATCGAAATAGAAAGGGGGTGCCTTACCGATCCTGGCAGGAAGAGGAGACGAGGCCTTTGTGTCGGATCGATCGCAAAAGAAGCGTCTAATTCGCAGTCATGCGTATGTCGCTTTCGGAAATTTATTTTGTTTCTATCCAATTTCCAGTGGCCGGAAATAGAAATAGTTGCTAATAATTTAGTTACTTATATACGGGGTGTCAATAGGGAGCAATAACTAAGAGTTTCCAAAAAGTATTACTTCTACTTAAATTTGGTGTGCCAAATTTACAGTAGAGTGTAACAATATCCCATATATCAAAAATTTATAACAATCTAACAACAAATTTAAGCGAATATAACTTCATTAATTTAATTAATTCAGCAATTTTTTTAACCTACCAGAAAACATACTTCAGTCAGTTAGAATGTACTATAGTCGTAATTTTGTATTTTTACATTGTAGTCAAGATGGGACCTTACACCATGGATGAATTTTATACCAAAATAGAAAGTTGTATATAATGTTATTGTAACTCGATCCATATCCATATGGAACTACAATGTTTTCCTTCACTTATTTTACCTGTTAGTTTTCAGCAGTTAGTTTATAGCCTGGATAATATATTGCCTTTCAATTTTCATAATATTTTCAGACATCTTATTCGCTATAATTGTTATTAGTCATGTTATTGTTTGCCATGTTGTTGCACCCGAGGTAACTCTTAATAGCAGTCGAAATTAGCTACCTGAATAAATTATCTGTTATTTCTAAATACAAACCAAGGCAACTAGATCCAATAAAACATTTATTTAGATAACAGATTCATAATTTCGAGCGAAAACGCGAAGAGTTAGCCATTGCATTCCAGTAAACCATTCGTAAGTTAAAAAATACATCGTTCTATTTAAAATATTCAAGTTGTAGCCATTTATCGTATACTTTATTGAAACAAACCCTTAATAGTAGATAACTTTGATCATTTTTCCACTTTTCGGACGAAACGTATATTCTGAAAGTAATTTTAAAACTTTGTATTGTATGAAAAAAAATATGAAAAGCCCTGTACAATCTTAAACGAGGTTACCCTAATTTTCAATTCTAAATATGGTTAAATAATAAAATTGATAACATAGTTAGAAAATTTGTTGCCATACAAAATTTCTCAGGTGAAACAAATAAAAATACCAGGGGCGTACACTTTTCAACGACTCCTGAAAAAACTTTGGATTTACACGCAGCTAGGGACATTTACTTGCAAATTTTAATGGATTTTGAACGACTTTTGGAATGTCAAAAATCTTAAAAAATAATTTTACGAATCATTGCAGTAACAAATTTATTTTGCGTCAAAAAATTCATAGTTATAGATATAATATACACATGATTATGATAAAACATCGGGCGAATAAAACAACATAGAGATATAACATCCTCAAATATAAAGATAGTGCTTATCACGTTTTGGATGTGAAACCAGTGGCTGAAAATACTGGCAAATAACGTTATTCCAAAAAAAGAAAATGAGCATCATCGCTTGCAGGAATCTTACTAAACATTACCATTCATTGATTGAGCACGTGCAACTTGTGAAAATCATTTTTATGCTCTGGATATGTGGCAATTGGCTTAATTGGTTAACAAATTAGAGCTTATTGTCGAATCGGTGGATGCACCTTCGTGCTGCTTAAAACTTCTTAATAATAAATGCTATTTCTAGCCCGAACGCTGTGAAGGCAACTGTAGAAGCGGCGCTGATCCAGAACGATATCATCATATCAACTGGTGGAGTGTCAATGGGTGAATACGATTTGCTCAAACAAGTCCTGATTGAAGATTTCCACGCCACCATCGAGTTTGCCCGCGTAAACATGAAACCTGGGTGAATTAGTTATACTTTTAAAGTAATATTTAATTAATTCGCCGACCAAAATTTCCCAACGTTTGATATAATAATGGATAACGCCTTCTATATTTCAGTAAACCGACTGTTTTCGCCACCCTGACCCACCAAGGAAAGAAGAAATATGTATTTGGACTTCCAGGCAATCCGGTGTCCTGTTGCGTTACGAGCTTGCTGTTTGTTATTCCAGCTTTGAAACGCATTGAACTGGACGCGTCCTTTAAATTTTGGCCCCTACTTCCCGTAAAATTGGTGAGTGCCTACATAGTTCAAGCAATATTAAAACTGTATAGTTCTTCGCGTATTTCAAAATTTTAAGCAAAACTTCTACTAAATCCTACTTAATCTTAATTTAAAATAATAATTTTTTTTTAACAAAAATGTTTTAACACCTGGTAAAAAAAATTAGTTTTGGTTAGTTTTGTGGAACCTTGTTCCTTCTAGATACTACGATAATATAAATATACATACATAAGTAAAGGATTTAATGTGAAGACTTAAGATTGATTATCTTAAAAATTCGAATAAAAAACTATAAAAAAATATGTTTGTTAGTAACCAATTTGTTTACGTGTATTAATTTGATGGTCATAATTAATTTAACAGGAATAAACACAATATAATGTGAAGTCGACGAAGTAGTTCCTTCACGTTTTGTCCATTGCGGTGTGGTTCTATGGATCTTTTATATTAATATGAATGCGAAAAGGCTAGAAAATACGGTCACGTTTCCGTTGCCTGTATTCAATTCAAGACAGAATCCAGACTAGACATTATAACGAATAAAATACCGGTGCACTGGCATTGCTCGAAGAGCAATTGCAGGCTTTTCGCTCCTAACCGCTCAACAGATTTTGATAAAATTGGAGTAGGAGATAATTGCATCCTGAAGACAAACCCATTGTTTAAAGAGCAGTAAATATTTTAACGCTGAGTGTTAAATATTGCATAGTTTGAAATAAACTTTTTTTTCAATGTCTCATAAAAGAAAATACTGAAATTTAATTTAATTTCATGGCGAAAACTGCGTCTTTCTATACTTACATATAAGCGAGATATTTTGAAAAATGTTAAATTTACAACAGTTATTAACTATGCTTGCCATAAGGGAGAGCAAAAAAGGAGGTCATGTCTAGTCTCTTTTATTTCTTTTTTTGAAATTAACAACAATTTCGACTATAATATGTCGGTTAATCCTGAAATGTCAGTTATACTATTACTGTCAATTTACCGACGGCCTTTTTTTAAAAATCATTATTTAAAAAGTGTTTAATCATAAAAATACTTTCTACAGAATGAAATGGTACCGACGGCGTCGAACGCTGTTGTCTTCTCTCGCAGGTCATTAAACTCCAGCGCTAAAATTAAAATATATTATTATATTGATTATGGCAAACCCTAAAAGCCTAGTAATAAATTATATCGAGAGATAACTGTCTGAATTATTTGGACGGTCCCAGTTACCAAAGCCGTAATAATCAATCTATGTTTCAGAATACTTATTTAAGTAATTTCATTTCCGTAATTTATATTTTATTAAGAGGGTCGATCAAGTGTACGAGGTGTGCTCTAAAAGTAAGGCGACTTTTGTAATTGGGCGGGCTACGTATATTCGATCTTAGATATTTTTTTTGTTATGTTGGTACACATGTACATTGTTCACAGTTTCAGCAAGTTTGTACTTGTATTTTGTTTTGTGAATCAGAAGCGCTAGACGTGTCTTGTGGGCTAGGCGATTTTCTGCTGTAAAAAAAATGCAACAAAGAATTTGCATAAAACTTTGTATGAAGAATAGAATACAGTGCTGCGAAACGCTTGAAATGTTGACAACGGTATATGGTAAATTTACTTTGAGCAAACAAAAATGTTTATAAGGCATACAAGCTGTTCCAAGATGGCCAAGAAGACGCCGATGACGAAAACCACTGTGGACGCTCCAGCACATCAATATCCGATGAAAGCGTTGAAAAAGTGAAACAAATGGTGAAACAAAGTGGCTCGAGGCGTCAGCATCTCCATTGGCTCGTGCCGCGCAATTTTTTCCAAAGTTTTTTCCATGAAGCGTATAGCAGCAAAAATTGTTCCGAAACTGCTTAATTTTGAGCAAAAGGACCGTCGAAGGAAAAGGTCATAACTGATGACGAATCATGGGTGTATGGTTATGACGAAAATGGAAGAACCCAGAATCGCCAAAACCGAACAAAGCACGTCAAGTTCTATCAAATGTCAAGGTTTTACTTGATTATTGTGGCGTAGTAAATCAAGAGTTCTTAGCACAAGGTCGTACGGTCTATAAAAAGTATAATCTTAAAGTTATGTGGCGTGTGTGGCAAGCAATACGAAGAAAACTACCGGAAGTGTGGAAAAACAATTCATGGATTTTGCATCACGATAATGCACCTGCTCACTCATCATTGCTTGTGTGCAACTTTTTGGCCAAAAACAAAACCACAGTCATGCCTCAGCCACCATATTCACCGGATATTACCCCCTGTGACATTTATCTGTTCCCAATTATGGATGGTTTGGGACGATTGAGGAGATAAAGAAAAAATCACTGGATTCTATATGGGAAGCAGACAATATTAATTTTGATGATTAAATAAATACTTTTTGATAAAACTTAAAAGTCACCTTACGTTTTGAACGCACCTCGTATGAAAGACTGGTGATAGGATTGCATATATTAAAATAGTTACAGGAATAGAATGACTAAAACTGATGGAGGAAATTTAACTAAAGTAAGCGTCAGCGCTCCTTATATAAATACATCTATTATAAAGCTAACCAAACTAACCGTGATAAGCTATTGTTTGCGATACAATCGATTTAGCAGTTAACATTATGTATTTATTTGTTGATATTTATGCTCTGATAATTTTTATGTAATATTTTGCTATAACTATCCAGGCAATTAAAAACGAATTTCATCAAAAAATCGCAATGAAATTTCTAATGTACCAGATAAGCTCCAACAATACTTTTGGTTAGTTTAATTTTTAGAAATATTAGTCTGGTTTAACATTTAGTAAAATTTCAAAAATCTTTTTCAAAAATGCTGATTAATAATTAGAAGCTACTTCTCCTTAAAATTTTAACGTCCGGCGGTACAAAAGAAGTTAATAAACACTCTGTATATATGGAGAAAAATAAAGCTGCCTTTCTACCATACTAACTGAATCCCTAATGTGTAAAACGTTCTGCTTTAAATTATTCATACGTCAACCGGTCTCCTACATGTCCTAGAGACAATAATAATTCTCCATTATCCACCCTTATTACAGGGTTTGGGTTAAGTGGACGTTTAAGAACGATGCTAAGTGAGTTAGAGAGAGACCGAAACTTTTAATAAAGACCGTTTTTTAGGCAAAACGAAAATGAAGACCAAACTAATATATTATAACATTTTTCTAAGCACTTTCTCTACCGGTTGACCATAGAAAAACAATTTAAATTTTGGACTTCATTTTTAGGTTTGATAAGATATGTCAGCTCATTTTGTATCCAAAAGAATACATTTTCTTATGGTCCAGCACTGCTTCCGTCTTTATATGATTACGATTCGACTTATCAAGCGCCCCTAAGTAGATACTTTGTCAATGCGATTTAGATATTTATTTTGTGATCGTATTTCGTTTGCTTAAAGCCTCGAAGTTTGCCCTGCATCGTAAGGTTTTATAAATACATTTTGTATGGAAATCTGGTTCGTCGTTTTGTATCTACGTGTTAAATTTGCAGATTCTTTCTCCGCAGCACCTGTAGCATTCTGAAATATAAGGTTGTTCGGAAAGTCATTTCGTTTTTTCCCGTCAGAGGACTTAATTACGTTTTTTCGAAACCAACTTCACACTTAAGCCGCATAATCATTATATGTCTTGAGAGCTGATATTGCAAGGCTTGTGTGTGAAAAAGTTCTATTAATTCTACGCAGTAGTTTTTGGTTGGTGCCCTTTTAAATATGGAGAGCAATAAGCAGCATTTTCGTCATATTTTACTTTTTTACTTCAGAAAAGGTAAAAATGCTATCCAAGCGAGAAAAAAATTGACAGATGTGTATGGAGAAGGCGTGTTAACAGTACGCCAGTGCCAGAACTGGTTTGCAAAATTTCGATCCGGCAATTTTGATGTCGAAGATGCACCACGGTCTGGAAGGCCGGTCGAAGCTGACAAAGATGCGATAAAGGCATTAGCTGATGCAAATCGGCGAATAACCACACGAGAGATCGGTGAGAGATTAAATTTGTCGAATTCGACTGTTTATGGCCATTTGAAAGGCATGGGCTTAACCTCGAAGCTCGATGTGTGGGTGCCCCATGTCCTTACGGAGCGAAATTTGTGTCGTCGCGTTGACGTGTGCGACTTGCGTTCAATTTACGAAATGTAAGGTTAGTAGCCTGGTTTATTTTTCAAGCGACGTATAAAACAAAACACTATCAATTTGCTGACATATCAGCCGACATCATATATATTTTCTAATGGAACACCCTGTATATTATATATGTGTTTAATATAATATCTTATTCTGATTACACTTAATAATTCAGGCCATTCGTTTTTGTCAAATCGACAACAACAATAATTATTTACAAATTAAAGTAGAATAAAAACACTAAAAACGACAAGAGACACTAAAGTAAAAAATTATTTAACTATTCTAAATACTGCTGTATGTGACCACCATTTTCCAGAACACATTTCTCATACACTCTAACTGTATGATGTCTTGCCTTTAGTAACGTTTCCGGATTATTTCTTAACTGATCGATTGCCTCTGAAAGCCTTCGCCGAAGTTCCACTTCGCGACAGTTATGCGTCACTTGGAAAAAAAACCCTAGGCTACTAACCCCACATTTCGTTTTTTTGTTTACCTTGATATCTCTAAAAGCAAAAAAGTTACACCCACTTAAATGTCCAAAATTCGGGAGAGCGTTTTTAAAAACATTTGTTACACAGAAAGCGAAATAAAGTTTTATTCGAACTGGCCGTTACAAAGGTTGGAATAGTTAAGAGCGTATTTTACAACATTATTTAATGCGGTGTCAGCGATGCGTTATCTTCGCTTAGCTTTGGGCTTCGTCTGCAGTTTGGGACATATAACTCCTCCTTCCTTAACTTCGAAAAAACTTCAAGATTATCTCCCTGGAAGGTTTCCTCTTTGGATGCGATTTTCTTCAATTCTCGTACCTTTCCGAATAAGAGCTTCTTAATGATGAAAAGTAAAATTAGAACCATGATTATTCCAAAAACAATAA